CTGTTTAGACCTGGCCAACTGGCAGAGGCAGCCGCTAGGAACAGCTCCAAACTCACCATCTACTTTGACCGGCCTCGTATTTCACTGTTTGACGACCTGACTTATCAGGGGTTCTATGAAACGTTTGTGGTTCATGTCAAGCGCCCAAAAACTGCGGAGATATACGAGCACCCCGATGGCGTCCATTTTATCACTGCCCGACAGCGTGGCGAGAAGGTGTGCAGACTGTTTTGGGTCTCACCGAGCAGGACAGAACAGTATTACCTGCGTATCCTGCTTATGACTGTATCTTGCCGTGGTTATGCCGACCTCCTGTCCCGCGGTGGACCAAACTGCCGCACTTTTCAAGGGGTCGCGCGGCATCTTGGCTTGGTGCAAGACGAACAGGAGTACCACTACGCACTGCGCGAGGCCGCCACTTTCATGACTGGCCCGAGACTTCGTTCTTTCTTTGTGATCCTCTGCAACATGGGGGCTCCTGCAGCTCTCCTGTGGGATGCTTTCCGTGATTCCATCTGCGAGGACCACATAGAGCGTAATCCTCTCGATGTTGAACTGGCCTACAAGCTAGGTCTCATCGATATTGATCGGAGTCTTCGTCGGCAGGGTTCTTGCGTCGCAGATCATGGCCTCCCCGATGTACACGATGACACGACGGAGTTGGGCAGAGAACTGCTCTTACATGGTGAAAATCAACAGAGAGTGTTTGTGGAGGAGTGGGTGCCAAAGCTCTCTGAAGATCAAAACCGCGTATTTGAGTACGTTACCTCCGTTCTCAATGCCCCTGCCAGCGGAACGTCGTCGAAAATCATTTTTCTTGACGGCCCGGGAGGCTATGGGAAGACCACTCTGATTCGTGTCATTCTCGCATACGTGAGAGGTTGTCGTCAGGTTGCACTGGCAGTCGCTAGCTCTGGGATCGCCGCGGGTAACATGCCTGGTGGAACTACAGCTCACAGCATGTTCCGGTTGCCACTCGACTTCGGTGACGGCACCGGCTTTTGGAACATCACCAACGGCTCCCAGCGAGCAGAGCTCATCAGGGCCGCAAGGCTCATTGTCTTTGATGAGGCCCCGATGGCACATCGGTTCGTTTTCGAGGTTCTTGACAGATCCCTGCGAGACCTCATGCGTTCCAGTGAGCTATTCGGTGGTAAAATATTCCTCTGTTGTGGCGACTTTCGCCAGATCGCGCCTGTCGTTGTAAACGCTCGTACTCCAACTGACATTGTTTGTGTCTCACTTCGGGCTTCCCATCTGTGGCAGCATTTCAAAATTTTTGCCCTGACAACAGCTCATCGGACTAGTAGTTCCACAGCCTATTCCGAATTCCTTCTTAGGGTAGGCAACGGAACTGTCAGTTCGACCACTTTCTTGGAGGGACGGAACGAACAAAGTCTAATTCCGCTGCTCGGGATTAGACAAGTGACGTCTTTGACTGATTTGGTCGATTCCGTCTTTCCCGCAAACGTCCTACTCGACTCTGATATGTGTTCGCGACGCGCAATCCTCTCGACTCTGATAGTGAACGTCAAGGAGATCAACGACCACATCTTGAACTCCCTCGACGGTCATCTGTACGAGCTGAGGAGCGCCGACACAGTCGACAGAGAGAACGACGATGGCCTGGATGTCGACGTTCAACTCCTGAACACGGCTACTGGCAAGGGCGTACCAGACCATGTTCTGCGGCTGAAGATCGGTTCTGTTTGCCTCATTATGAGGAACCTCAACATCGCTGAAGGACTCGTCAACGGCACTAAAGTCATCGTAATCGGCATCACCAACCGCCTGATTACAGTGAGACTTCCCGGACAGACGCAACCTATCGGAATTCCCCGGATTACCTTTACTTTTGCGTTTGTCGAGGGTTCGCCGTTACGTGTTCGTCGACGTCAGTTCCCACTGATGTTGGCCTATTGCATGACCGGACACAAGAGCCAAGGTCAGACAATAGATTCAGTCGGTGTTGATTTACGGACCGATTGCTTCACGCACGGGCAACTATACGTCTTGCTCAGTAGGGTCAGACATCCAGACCATATTGTTGTTCTCGTACACCCCGAACGTGTCCGAGATGGAATCGCATACGCAAAGAACATCGTGTATGGCGATCTCCTTCTCTAAACCTGATTTGACATTAGCAGTAGGCTAGGGGATCTGCTTAATCAAAACTCCCCGTTGTGACTTGACAACATCGGCAGTACGATAGGGGGCCTGCCTTATCAAAAGTCCCCGTTGTTGTATAAAGTAGTTAGTAAAGTTTACTAACTTGTACATTTGTAAATAATTGTAAATATGGTTCCGACGTTTCCTGGCCTCCCCGTGGCGGAACTGGATATGCCATAAATTGTATGGCTAACCGACAGGGAAACAAACATTACTTGATCTATTTTCATAAATATATACATGAATATCTACTATAATCTATTTAATTCATATGATACTTTACTATTATCAACTTATTCACTTATCAATCGACATACTAATCAATCTACTCATCTTATACAACAGTTCTCTAATTTGTACATTTGTAAGTAATTGTAAATATGGTTCCAACGTTTCCTGGCCTCCTCGTGGCGGAACTGGATATGCCATACAGTTTGTGGCTAACTGACAGGGAAACAAACATTACTTAATCTATTTTCATAAATATATACGTCATGAATATCTACTATAATCTATTTTCTATTTACATCATATATACATGAATATCTAATATAATCTATTCACATCATATAATACTTTACTATTATCAACTTATTAACCTATCAATGAACATCAATATAAATTTACTTATCTTGTACAAAAGTTTACTAACTTGTACATATTCAAATAATTGCAAATATGGTTCCGACGATTCCTGGCCTCCTCGTGGCGGAACTGGATATGCCATAAAGTTTATGGCTAACCGACAGGGAAACAAACCTTACTTAATCTATTTTCGTAATTATATACTTGAATATCTACTATAATCTATTTACTTCATATAATACTTTACTATTATCAACTTATTAACTTATCAATCTCCTCTAATAAATTCATGAAATCGTTATTACTTTAATGTCGATTTTTACTATAACGAACCCTTCTCTCCTCATATTATTACTTCCTTTGACCAAAAACTCAATTGTAAAAATACTTGACTAACATACTCACTTACCGCAACTTAAAAAATGATTTTTTTATGAGGTGTTCCTTAAGCTAGAAGTTATCTTACTCAAAGTTAACTTATATAACTTAATATTGACGGTTTCACTTCTTGCTTTGTTACAACTTAACTCTAATCTACTAATGACGACTAACAGCTAGGGGGCCTGGGGGCGGAGCCCCCAGCGAGCCAAAGGCGAGTATAGCATATACCAACTGTAGCAGTTTTAAATACTCGTAAAAATAGAACATATGAGCACATTGCTTTTCTCCTTTGGTATTTGGTAATATAATTTGTAATTTAATATAAAATATTCTATGATTTACAAAAAGTCTTGTCAGCAGCTTAACTAGCCTATGTTCAAGTTCAATGCAACACTAGCAACACATTTGTAACTTAATCGATAGCCAAAGCAACTAGTTGTAAGAAAATTCATTACTCCCTATCTATTGCAACCCAGTGACCCATAACCCTTTTACAATGTGACCTAACATGTCACCATAGAACTACTGTATCACTAACAGTAGTCATTGTCACGCCACATGGCTGGGTATTGCCACGGTGGGACAAGACGAGTGTCACGGTCGAGCAAATGTTACTCCGGCCGTGACAATTACTGTGGAAATGACTGCCACTGCCATCATCTACTAGTAGGTTGCCATTTACACATTGTTGTAGAGGTCAAATAACAGAAGGCACTGGTCGTGGAACACACGTGAATCACCAAAGTTGTAGTGTTACGAGAGCTAAAATTGCCCGACGTTTTGCGAAATCTGACGTTAACAAGTTATAACCATAACTTAGTTACTAAAACCTTGTTGTCCGTTTTAATTTTTCTGGAATGTAATAACACAATTGTTGTGTTCAACCATAAAAACTACAGCAGTCCATAGGCCTATACTACATTAGTTCTTTTTACTACCTCAACTATTACCAGTTTTGGTTACTGAAGTCCACACTCATGGACAAGTTGGTATATAGCCTAGGTTTTTACTCAAATAGACCATAGGTAATTAAATGCACCTCTAATAGAGTGTGCTACAATTTTAGTTCTATTATCTCATCCTTCTCTCACAATATTATATACATTAAAGATGTAATAGTTTGTATGGTGACCACCAGTGTGGCACGGTTAATAAATAGATCGATTAAAAAACGCCATAGTACAACAGCAACTAATGTCAATGGCTAAAGAATTAAATAATTTTTTTTGTTCTCGAACTGGCTAAAACTCTAACAATCTCATGCAGATATATAATTACAAAAAAGTTGAAATTCACTATAAAAACCGATTTTGAACATAAGTAAAAGATTTATTTTGTAAAAGTTTTACGATTTATATAATAAAGATCCGAAATGTCTTGATTGGTCTAATGAGTGATATTTAATTTAATTCAATGAGTGAAATATCAAACACTCATTGAATTAATCAAGGCATTCCGAAGCTTTATTCTTATTAGTTCTACTAAAAAAAATATTACAAACATATTTTTTCACCTATACATATTTAAAATTAGTTTTTATTCTATGACCTCGAAGGATTTGTAATTCGATATTATAAATTCACGAAATAATGAAAATATTAGTATTCGAATTTCGTACTTTAGAACGAACACGATCAATTTGGTAAGTTATACGTTTCCTGTAGCAATTGCAAAAGCATACTCCATGGGGTCAATATAATAGATGTGTGTACTAAGCCTTACACTTTTGTAAATTAAATATTATTAACTTGTGACTAGATAATGCCGACTTTTACACATTTATAACATTGTGGAACATCAAGCCTATACATCTTCTGCGGTTGTCCTACAAAGCTTATTAAAACTTTATAAACCACAAGTCTCACCGTCCATCCTCCCTCGGCCACCTCTTGTTCACAGAAGACCTTGAGGAACCAGTAGGTCGTCCCTCGGATCTGGAGGTAGTAGACTCCGGAGTGCCTCATGCCAGCGTTCGATAGGTCCAGACAGGAGTAGCCCTGGAACAGACCAATGGAGTGTCAAGATAGATATACATAAAATATATTTTACTGCAAGAAGGTTGCCAAATTAAAAACAGTTGAATTCCTCAAGAGTTGCACACTAGGTCCGATTGAGACTGGATCTAAAATCTCAATCCAATACCGTCTCCTGGACAATGGAACAACTTCGGTATAGTGTTTATGATTGGATAAAGCTTTACAAACTTAGACCCCGGAATACTTTGCTACTGAGTTACAACAGGAGAAGGGTATTTGAAAATTCTATTTCTTAACCCAACCAGTACTCATAACTCATAGGCGTTCAATAAAAACTAAATATCCAATAAAAATCCACAAATCTGTGGATGAAGTCTTTGTCAAGATCTCTAGTGTTTGCTATAAGCCAATTATTGAGTGCATGAGTTTTATATACATAGTTTCGGTTTTTGGGGTCTAAAGGTAGACATTGAGTTCTAAAATGAATTGAAAATTTTTTTACAAAGCTATCACTAATATTAAGGACTTAACTTTAACACCAACACAACGCCTTGTAATCTATATAAAAGGCAAAGCCCTCACTGACTGACTGACTGACTCATTCACTCATCACCAATTCTCCCACTTCCCATTTACCTAGGAGGCTGAAATTTGGTACACTGATTCTTTAGGCATTAAATAGGAAAAATAAGTTGTTTTTATTCTGATCGGACTCTCGGGCTCCGCCCCAGTGACTCTGGAGTTTCCCATGTTAACCTTATGAGTACTCATATTTAAATGGAATTTATGAATCTTAACAGCTGTTTCAATTAAACAAGTTGGTTCTTTTCTATGATGTTCAATAGCATTAAAGTTACAAGGATTACCAACAGGGTGCAGCACTATTATTATTTTTTTTTAATTTATGACAACAGCTAATTTGCAACTAAAAGGTGAGTGAGCGTAGCGAACGAACTTCAACCTGGAGGCGAGTTAGCGTAGCGAACGAGCTAACCTGAAGGCAAGTGAGCGCAGTGAACGAGCTCCAACCTAAAGGTGAGTGAGCGTAGCGAACGAACTTCAACCAGGACGTAATTGAGCCATGCGAACGAGCTCTCTTATGAAGTAAAACGGGGCAAAGCCCGCGGGTACAGCTAGTGTGAAGATAAACGAAGTATTACTGTAGATTCAGTGTCATGAAATAATTTTGTCACTGACTAAGATCAGATGATTCTTCAGCTAGAGTTACTGAATTGTAAAAATGCAATATCAAGAAACAGTTTTAGACAGCAGCGTATACTTCATGGATGTCAAAAAGTTCTTAAAATTTCGCCATAATTCAGCAAAACCAGCAAGTAATTTATCTTCCCAATTATCGCTTTTCATCTGGAATGACAATGAGAACAACGCATATCAAACTATTTTTCAAAAGTACTATACAGTAAATTCATTATTTCGTCGAAATCGCACTCGAGACGCGTTCTACATGATCAAAACAAGCATCAGATTTCACAATAGGATGAGAAGTTTACTCACACTCATGTCCATGGATTTACTAGATCTCTAACCACTACCCAGCTGATTACAAAGGCAGTGGATGACAAGCACATCAGAGAAGAACATGAAGATTGCGAGTCAGCACTGGACGCTGCCCAGCTGTCGCGAGGGAAACCCGAGTTTCATGCTCTAGAAAATTCTTTTACGGTTTGAAATGGATCTGAATGATTTTCATAAACCGGCTCTTCGACCTTGACGCCTTTCGCTAGTTTTGCTGGTGAAATATGCAGCAACGCACAAAGCCTTCTTGTTATTTCTATGACTAGCGGAGTTTATAGAAATAACAAGTATCTATGGGGCCTTGGTGAAACGGTGTCAAAGGAAACGGAACATGATGACAGATATGTATAACGTTAAGTAACACTATAAGGTATCGAGCAGAAAAAATTATAAACAAACAACCGAAAATAAAACTTTTGAATAAATAAATTAGCCACTAACGCCACACAACATCCAAAGCCCCTCAAGTATACAACAACAATGCGCTAGGAGACACAGTCAAATTTATCGAATTATACAGGGTGTTTATTTTTAAACACAACCCAAATTAAAAGTACTGCGAATGCGAAACACTGGTTAAACGACAAAACAAGCTCATGTATTGGCATCCCTGTCATCATCACTACAGTTGCATACTTATTTATGAGGTTTTTTGAGGTTTAGTGTAGTTGGGAATTTATTGTTATAAGACTCAAAATGTCGTTGCCACAATCTCAAAGAATATGTGTTGTAGAATATTAGGTTAAAATGAAAGTAATTCGTTGTTTTTCCAAGAAATGTTTGAAATTAAGTTTCCAGGTGTGATTCTGGTTAGTATCCTACAAATTAATTATTTATAGACTTGTGAAAAATTTAAAGAAACCGGATCTGTAGAAAAATGCCTTAAATACATTTCTTTCTTGGAGTTTGTGAAAATGCCACGTTGAGGCTTACTTACAACAAGCTCTCAACAACACTAAACCTTAAAATAAGTATATATTGCATATAACTTGGTCGGAAATGAAGTAAAGAAGACAGGGATGCCAACGTATGAGCTTGTTTTGTCGCTAAACAGTGTCTCCCAATACTTTTAATTTGGGTTGAGCTTAAAAAAACATGCCGTATTTTATCATAGACAAAATAATTATATATAGACAGTCAGCCGTACTGCAGTCACTATAGTTGCCATAGGTTCTGGCGCACACCGCTGCGTAGCGCGTACGCCGTAATTTCATGGCACTCCCAGCGGTGTATGCCAGAACCTATGGTAACAACAGCTCGGCTGACGGTCTATATTTAATTCTTTTTGTCTATGATTTTATGTAAATTCATTATTATGCAACTACAGTTTATTTTGATAAAAGTTTCAGTTAAATTGCCTTACTAGCCCAAAACTATTACACAAAAGTAACGGCAACGTGGAACAGTAGGTGTAAACCTATTGCTACCTTTCACTAATAAACCATTTTCTGGCAGCAGTTACAAAGAAAGCAATGCCAATTGCGATTGGTGAAATCAAAGGAGCTATTGAGACATAGAAAACGCAATACCTTTTATCTATGGTATTTATGAACGACATAATTAAGGTAAGTGCGATAGATTTCCTACCAGTCGTTACTCTACAGGGGCAATTTGTCCTCTTGTCACATTCATTTGTCTATGAACAATTGGCTGTGTTGTCATTTGCACATAACCGACTGAATTATAGGTTATTGCTTTATTTACAGGGAACTATGTCGTACTGTATTTCTTTGAAACTTTGTCTAGCATTCGCTGGTATGTATGGTACTGAGTTTGAAGAATTTTATTTTTTTAAATTCATACTTCTCTTGTCTATCCACGCTATTGACGTGTTTAAAGATTTGGAAGGGAACGGTCCAAATCCTTGTCTTACTACTGTCTAGCGTTGACCTTTTTGTTACAGCATTACCAATTCGTAGCCCAATGAAAAATGACATCTAGGCCCAGCAACTATCTCGCTTGGAATCGAACCAGCGACCTTCAGATTTGAAGGTGAACACTTCAACCACTCGGCTACCCAGACAATCATGTATTGACGTTTTAGTAAAAAATGTACAAAGGGAAAGCGACTTGTACATTTTAATTATGTTTGGATGAACTCTGAAGCATCCAAACATAAATAAAACGGAGTGTTTGAAATAGTGTTCTAACTGCCTAGTATTAAATAGCTGTTTAAAAATTAAAATCACAAATTTCAAAGGTTAACCTTTATCTAGATCTCCCAAGAACAATACAAAATTTCATCCCTACCATGTTACGGGAATATCATAAAATATTCTAAATCAATTCTTGTGTTTTATGATCGATGTTTTTTGTATTCGATATTTATAATTTAATTAAATACAAAATTGTCGAGCTTTCAATTAATTTAGTCGTAATTTATCCTCTATTGTTTTTTTACCATGGAACCAAATAACAAGATTTGGTTTAATATAGAGCTGGTGTGTAACAATCATTTCATTAACCAGAGAAAAATACTGTACACGTTTTTATTCGACAGGATTTTCTTACATATTAGGCTTATTGTAATAACAGTAGGAAAATCTTTGGTAGTTTGAAGCTTAAAACAGATATCAATGTTCTAAAGTACCTCGGAAATTATAGCTTAGAAGTAAGAATCTATATCATTAACCGGAGTTCCAAGTTTTTAATTAATACACCGAAGGCACTGGGATAAAAGTGTTGATAATCACTGCAGTGTTTAATGTTCATTTAGATACTACTGCACACTGCGTCTATTACGATATCTAGATTCTAGATGACCGATAAACGCAGCAGAAACTGACCCGATGGTCCGGCGAGGAACAACCTGCACCAGATAACACTTTCTCTGGCCGACATCTTTCCTTCTATTCCTAATCTGGTCGATGATTGTGTAATGCGAATATCAACTAGACCGACGGGTTAACCCGGTCAGTCTGTCTGTCGGTCTAGTGGTCTAGTCTCCTTCACCGAGTGGCTAGACAATTGAAGTTCTCCACAACCAAACTGCTTCAAATTTGATTTGTTTGTCGGTAGTGGTCTAGTCTCCTTCACCGGATAGAATAGATGGATAATTAATACTCTTTAAACAAAACTGCATCAAATTTGATTTGTTTTTGGTATACTGTAGTGGTCTAGTCTCCTTTCCCGCGTAGCCACCTAAGTGGCGTTCTCTTCAACCAAAACGGTATCTTCACTATACCTTCACTGTACGGTTAGCTAAGTGTTGGACTGAGAGATGAAAAACCTCGTGGGAAAATTTAGGCTGTTTGGAAGGGGCCTGACACAGATTAGGTATACTTGTCGGGCATTGGACTACAGCATGGTAAGTATCAACCCGTGACTGCACAAGACGTGGCACGCCAGTGTTCTGGCAAAGTTGCTACAGCAAAGACTTGATAGCATCTAGGTCATCTATAGCTTTAGTGAACATTAGACAACGCGCAAATTTGGATGTAACGACTGTATGGTCAAAGTCGAAATTCATCATCTCGAGGTATATT